TATATATATATATATATATGTCGTACCTAGTAGCCAGAACTCACTTTTCAGCCTACAATGCAAGGCCCGATTTGCCTAATAAGCCAAGTTTTCATGAATTAATATATTTTCTCTAATTTTTTCCTTATGAAATGATAAAGCAACCCATTTCATTATATAAAAGGTCAATTTTTTTTTATTGGAGTTAAAATTAACGTAGATATATGACTGAACCTAACCAACCCTACCTAACCTAACCTAACCTATCTTTATAGGTTAGGTTAGGTTAGGTAGCCGAAAAAGTTAGGTTAGGTTAGGTTAGGTAAGTTAGGTAGTCGAAAAGCAATTAATTCATGAAAACTTGGCTTATTAGGCAAATCGGGCCTTGCATAGTAGGCTCAGAAGTGAGTTCTGGCTACTAGGTACGACATATATATATATATATATATATATATATATATATATATATATATATATATATATATATATATATATATATATATATATATATACATATTATTATTATTACTGTCAGCTTTGAGATGGAATCATAATGTATTTTCGCCTTCATTTTTAAAGATTTTTTTTTGACGAAGTTGCCACTAAATTTATTGCACAGGAAATGGAGTCTGGCGGCCGTGATCAATTGCTGATTGCTCTTAACTCTTGAGAACTGTAAGCGGAGGGCAGCGTGGCAGACATTATATATAGCGCGTAACTGACTGGCGGACTGACTGATTGACTGACTGACTGACTGACTGACTGACTGGCTGGTTGGCTGGCTGGCGGACGGACTGACTGACTGGCTGGTTGGCTGGCTGGCGGACGGACTGACTGACTGACTGGTTGGCTGGCTGGCGGACGGACTGACTGACTGGCTGGTTGGCTGGCTGGCGGACGGACTGACTGACTGGCTGGTTGGCTGGCTGGCGGACTGACTGGCTGGCTGGCTGGCTGGCGGACTGACTGACTGACTGGCTGGTTGGCTGGCTGGCGGACGGACTGACTGACTGGCTGGTTGGCTGGCTGGCGGACTGACTGGCTGGCTGGCTGGCTGACTGACTGACTGACTGACTGACTGACTGACTGACTTACTGGCGGACTGACTGACTGACTGACTTACTGGCGGACTGACTGACTGACTGACTTACTGGCGGACTGACTGACTGACTGGCTGGTTGGCTGGCTGGCGGACGGACTGACTGACTGGCTGGTTGGCTGGCTGGCGGACTGACTGGCTGGCTGACTGACTGACTGACTGGCTGGTTGGCTGGCTGGCGGACGGACTGACTGACTGGCTGGTTGGCTGGCTAGCGGACGGACTGACTGACTGGCTGGTTGGCTGGCTGGCTGGCGGACTGACTGGCTGGCTGACTGACTGACTGACTGACTGGCGGACTGACTGACTGACTGACTTACTGGCGGACTGACTGACTGACTGACTGACTGACTGACTGACTGACTGACTGACTGACTGACTGACTGACTGACTGATTGACTGACTGACTGACTGACTGACTGACTGACTGGCGGACTGACTGACTGACTGGCTGGCGGACTGACTGACTGACTGACTGGCGGACTGACTGACTGGCGGACTGACTGACTGGCGGACTGACTGACTGGCGGACTGACTGACTGACTGACTGACTGGCGGACTGACTGACTGACTGACTGACTGACTGACTGACTGACTGACTGACTGACTGACTGACTGACTGGCGGACTGACTGACTGACTGACTGGCTGGCGGACTGACTGACTGACTGACTGATTGACTGACTGACTGACTGACTGACTGACTGACTGACTGACTGACTGACTGGCGGACTGACTGACTGACTGGCTGGCGGACTGACTGACTGACTGACTGACTGACTGACTGACTGACTGGCGGACTGACTGACTGACTGGCGGACTGACTGACTGGCTGGTTGGCTGGCTGGCGGACTGACTGGCTGGCTGGCTGGCTGGCTGGCTGGCGGACTGACTGACTGACTGGCTGGTTGGCTGGCTGGCGGACGGACTGACTGACTGGCTGGTTGGCTGGCTGGCGGACGGACTGACTGACTGGCTGGCTGGCTGGCTGACTGACTGACTGACTGACTGACTGACTGACTGACTTACTGGCGGACTGACTGACTGACTGACTACTGGCGGACTGACTGACTGACTGACTGACTGGCTGGTTGGCTGGCTGACTGACTGACTGACTGACTGACTGACTGACTTACTGGCGGACTGACTGACTGACTGACTTACTGGCGGACTGACTGACTGACTGACTGACTGACTGACTGGCTGGTTGGCTGGCTGGCGGACGGACTGACTGACTGGCTGGTTGGCTGGCTGGCGGACGGACTGACTGACTGGCTGGTTGGCTGGCTGGCGGACTGACTGGCTGGCTGACTGACTGACTGACTGACTGACTGGCGGACTGACTGACTGACTGACTTACTGGCGGACTGACTGACTGACTGACTTACTGGCGGACTGACTGACTGACTGACTGACTGACTGACTGACTGATTGATTTTTTTTTTTTTTGAGATATATACAAGAGTTGTTACATTCTTGTACAGCCACTAGTACGCGTAGCGTTTCGGGCAAGTCCTTAATCCTATGGTCCCTGGAATACGATCCCCTGCCGCGAAGAATCGTTTTTTCATCCAAGTACACATTTTACTGTTGCGTTAAACAGAGGCTACAGTTAAGGAATTGCGCCCAGTAAATCCTCCCCGGCCAGGATACGAACCCATGACATAGCGCTCGCGGAACGCCAGGCGAGTGTCTTACCACTACACCACGGGGGGACTGCCTGACTGCTGACTGACTGACTGACTGACTGACTGACTGACTGGCGGACTGACTGACTGACTGACTGGCTGGCGGACTGACTGACTGACTGACTGACTGACTGACTGACTGACTGACTGACTGACTGACTGACTGACTGACTGACTGACTGACTGACTGACTGACTGACTGACTGACTGACTGACTGACTGACTGACTGACTGACTGACTGACTGACTGACTGACTGACTGACTGACTGACTGGCTGGCTGCACACAAAGAAACACAGGAAAACATACAAACTGACTGACTGACTGACTGACTGACTGACTGACTGGCTGACTGACTGACTGACTGACTGACTGACTGACTGACTGACTGACTGGCGGACTGACTGACTGACTGACTGACTGACTGACTGACTGACTGACTGACTGACTGACTGACTGACTGACTGACTGACTGACTGGCGGACTGACTGACTGACTGACTGGCGGACTGACTGACTGACTGGCTGGCGGACTGACTGACTGACTGGCGGACTGACTGACTGACTGACTGGCGGACTGACTGACTGACTTACTGGCGGACTGACTGACTGACTGGCTGGCGGACTGACTGACTGACTGACTGACTGACTGACTGACTGACTGACTGACTGACTGACTGACTGACTGACTGACTGTATGGCTGGCTGGCTGGCTGACTGACTGACTGACTGACTGACTGACTTACTGGTGGACTGGCTTACTGGCTGACTGACTGACTGACTGATTGACTGACTGACTGACTTACTGGCAGACTGATCCCCTGTCCTTTTAAAAATAACATCGCTTTTGGCCGTTTACCCGTATGGCCGAAAGTGGACGTAATTTAAAAATGAAAAAAAAATGAGGATTTTTTTTTCAACAACAGTAAGGTAAGGGTCCTCTGGTAGGTTAGGTGGGCAGGAAATTCTCATAAAGTTTCAAAACGTTATGAAAAACATTAATTGAAAGTTTCCTCTTCTAACCTTTCCGAGTAAGCCGGACGACTCAAACAGAAAACGGGACAGTACGTCACTTTTATGAGTCGATTTCATTTAAAATTACGTCCACTTTTGGCCATAGCGCGCATACGAGCCAAAAGCGAGGTATTTTTTAAGAGGACGGGTTGCTGTGTGTTCAAGAGAGAACTCGATAAGCACCTGTAAATGATACCTGATCAACCAGGCTGTGACTCATACGTCAGGCTGCGAGCAGCCGCGTCCAACAGCCTGGTTGACCAGTTCAGCAACGAGAAGGCCTAGTCGAGGACCGGGCCGCGGGAACGCTAAGCCCAGAAATCATTTCAAGGTAACCTTAAGGTAACCCGCCCCCTCACTGTACGACACCCAGTATATTAACTCCCTCTCATTGTACGACACCCAGTACGTTAACTCCCCCCTCACTGTACGAATCCCAGTACAGTAACTTCTTCACTGTACGACAGATCTCCCTCACTGTACTACAACTCTCCCCCACTGTACGACAACTCATCGTCACTGTACGACAACTCTCCTCCACTGTACGACAACTCTCTCCCACTGAACGACAACTCTCCCCACTGTACGACAACTCTCCCCCACTGTACGACAACTCTCCCCACTGTACGACAACTCTCCCCCACTGTACGACAACTCTCCCCCACTGTACGACAACTCTGACCCACTGTACGACAAATCTCCCCACTGTACGACAACTCTCCCCACTGTACGACAACTCTCCCCCACTGTACGACAACTCTCCCCCACTGTACGACAACTCTCCCCACTGTACGACAACTCTCCCCCACTGTACGACAACTCTCCCTCACTGTACAACAACTCTCCCCCACTGTACGATAACCCTCCCCCACTGTACGATAACCCTCCCCCACTGTACGATAACTCTCCCCACTGTACGGCAACTCTCCCTCACTGTACGACAACTCTCCCTCACTGTACGACAACTCTCCCCCACTGTACGACAACTCTCCCTCACTGTACGAAAACTCTCCCTCACTGTACGACAACTCTCCCCCACTGTACGACAACTCTCCCTCACTGTACGACAACTCTCCCCCACTGTACGATAACCCTCCCCCACTGTACGATAACCCTCCCCCACTGTACGACAACTCTCCCCCACTGTACGGCAACTCTCCCCCACTGTACGATAACTCTCCCCCACTGTACGATAACTCTCCCCCACTGTACGACAACTCTCCCCCACTGTACGACAACTCTCCCCCACTGTACGATAGTGACGGCGACGACAGCCACCACAACAATAACAGTGACGCCCTCGTCACTCATGGGTCACATGACGCTTAATCACATGTGTCATGCCTCGTTATCAACCAGGAACTGAGGACCGCTGGTAAGTCACTCGTGGTCACTGGTACTGCTACCGTGTACGAGGACCAAGTGTGTCTAGGCCACAGTTGCGGGGGTACGAGGGCCAGGTGTGTCTAGGCCACAGTTGCAGGGGTACGAGGACCAGGTGTGTCTAGGCCACAGTTGCAGGGGTACGAGGGCCAGGTGTGTGTAGGCCACAGTTGCAGGGGTACGAGGACCAGGTGTGTGTAGGCCACAGTTGCAGGGGTACGAGGACCAGGTGTGTCTAGGCCACAGTTGCAGGGGTACGAGGACCAGGTGTGTCTAGGCCACAGTTGCAGGGGTACGAGGACCAGGTGTGTCTAGGCCACAGTTGCAGGGGTACGAGGGCCAGGTGTGTCTAGGCCACAGTTGCAGGGGTACAAGGACCAGGTGTGTCTAGGCCACAGTTGCAGGGGTACAAGGACCAGGTGTGTCTAGGCCACAGTTACGAGGACAGGGGTACAGGGGAGGACCAGGTGTGTCTAGGCCACAGTTGCAGGGGTACAAGGACCAGGTGTGTCTAGGCCACAGTTGCAGGGGTACAAGGACCAGGTGTGTCTAGGCCACAGTTACAGGGGTACAAAGACCAGGTCCCACACATCTGTGCTACAGTTTTGAGTACAATGACGGACATTATCTACACCATACATAATGCGTCGGCAATATGTATCGTGGATTAGGTTTGTTGTGGAAATACTATACGTGAATTTTCTGCTGTTTGACTTGTATCCTTCCAGAACGCTTTGACACGCCATTAATGTATGTGGTTTGGGTGCAGACGATGAGTCAGTAATGTGACTGAAGAGTGTGATAGCCATCCCACACATCTGAAAGTGAAGAAACACCAATGTTTCAGTCCTCCTGGGTCATTATCAAGTTGATCAAATTGGTAATGGTCCAGAACAGACTGAAACATTGTCATTTCTTCACATTCATGTGTGTGTGTTGTTTGGGTGTTTAGGCAAACCTTGCTTTTTAAATTATACGATTCCAATTATATCGTTTCCTAAAGTGTTATAATTTGTACTGTAACATTTTTGCAAGTTAGTCATTCTTACCGAGCCCAACATGGCAAGTGGCACCTATGGATCTGTATCCACAATCCTTAACTCAAGTTAGGCAAGAGGTTCTTTAAGTTTGGAGTTTGTGTAAGATACATAAAGTCTCGGCTATTAAATTGCCCAGTCAAAGAACATGGACTAGAATTTTAAGTTATTTCTTAAATATTCTTTATAGTAACAGGAGGTGCAGGTGGTGTTTGTGCATGTGTCTTGGTCTTCACATGGCTGCTGTCTCTCTTCCCTACTTGCATGCACTGCTGGGGTTTTGTCTTATATAATTTTTTCAAATTTGTCTCACACATACATGTGAACCCAGAGAACCTTAGGCCGACCACAATTAGTACGTCGGCTAACTGTAAGAAACAGTTCCAAAGGGAGCTGTATTACTGTATTTTGAAACAGGATAACCAAACCTTACATCATATTGTTTATTTGGTATAAAAACAATGCTGTCTAATGTATGTCACGTACTTAACCCTAGAACATTATCAGAACATTGGTATTTTTTTCATTGACTACTCCATAGCAGTAGGCAAGGTTGGCCATTCTCAGTGCAGGGCCTGCAAGTATGTACAATCAACAGGATTTGATTTGCAACCACAAACTGAGTGGTACAGAAAGGTCCCCAATCACTGATTAGTATAGGGCTGAATTAAATAAAAAATAAAAATAAATGGGAAGTTTATAAAATTACACTACAACCAAGTCTATAAATAAAGCATGGTCCTGTAAAGTCGCCACAGCCTGATGGGTACTCGCATAAGAAGGTGTATCGGCCAAAACTGAAGAATGGTATAAAAAAATGGTACAGTACACACCTGCAGATGAAGACTCCTGAATCCACCAAGCTGCATGATGGCAGCAACACGAATGGCTTTTAGAATCTAAATGCACTGAAACACACACACTGTGAAAGGGAAAAACAGCAGTTGTGCATGGAATCAAATGGGAAAGCCATAACAACCCAGATAAAACCTTACAATACAATAAACCCTACAGGGATGAGAGGCCATTGGCACCATTACACCATTAGTCAGGTGCACTGAACAAAGCACAAGCATCGGTATATAGCAAACATCAAATTCCAACTTTGAGCACTCGGCAAGGATAGGAATGGAATGGAATTATCAGGAGAAAGTGCTAAACCATTACACCTATACCTGTATAGCACTTAGAACTGTACTATCCAATACATTAAAGCCTGTGAGCCTGTGTAACTTTTTTGATGTTCATCTTACCTGTTCTCATGGAGCAAAGGATCTATCTAACAGACACTTATGGATTTTCTTAATCAGAACAAAATTCCAATCAAACTGCCATGGTCAGTCATACGATAATGCCTCAAGTATGTATGGACTTACTGGATGAATCCGTGCTTACTGGACTGCAAGCACGGATTCATTTTTTTTTTTTTTGAGATATATACAAGAGTTGTTACATTCTTGTACAGCCACTAGTATGCGTAGCGTTTCGGGCAGGTCCCCTTCATCAACTCAATGAGTTTGCCATCTATGTCTCCTGTGCTGAATACAGCCTGAACTTGGTGGGAGTAAAAGCAGCAGTGTGTTGTCTACAGACTATAAAATTTTTTGACTTTGTTCAGCATCTGTATTAATTTTTTGCTGGTTCTACTCCTCACTGGAATGTATTGTTATCGTCTTTAGGAAAAGACTTTGGGGTCAAGCGTCTGTCTGACACACGATGGTTAGGACATTTTGATGCTGTTCATGTTCTGTATGGGGATTTTGGGAAAATAAAACATGCACTGGATTCTCTCTCAGCTGACAATGAACAGCAAATGAATAGCGAGAGGGATAAGGATTGAGCCAAAAAATTTAAAACCTGGAAACAATCTCTCACAATTCTTTGGAATGACATGCTAGAAAGAATAAACAAAACAAACAAGATCCTGCAATCAAAAGATGTGAACATGCTTGTTGCCATGAATCTTCTTCAGTCTATGAAAACCTATCTTCAGGAAACTAGAAACAAATTTAGTGAATATGAATTCAAATCCAAGAGTAAGTGTCCAGTTACAGATTACAGTGATGGGAAAAAGCGGAAAGATCTCATTAAAACTGAAAAATTCAAGATGGAAACTTTCCTCCCTATTCTGGACACTAATCTTAGAACTGACAAAACATGCAGATGCTTATTCACTGATTGGAAATCTCTTTTTCTTTCTTCAGTGAATTGAAAACCATTGCTTCTGATGCACTGAAACAAAAGTGTGAACGTCTGGATAATATGTATCACAAAGACTGGAATTATGACCATTTAGATGAATGTGAAAATTATGTGAAAATGGCATCCTGAAGACCATTGACTTCATGCCAATAATAAAGCAATTCTCTGAAAAGAAATGCCGCAAATGCTTGTTATAATAAGAAGTTTCTAGTAATTTCATACTGTGCCATCAATCTGTATAGTTTACTGAGTATTTTTGTGTTTCTAAAGCCTTGTGTATTGTTCAAATACACATGGCTTTAGTACTGTTTCTAAAGCCTTGTGTATTGTTCAAATACACAAGGCTTTAGTACTGTTTCTAAAGCCTTGTGTATTGTTCAAATACTGCTTTCTACAGTACTGTATTGTACACAAATGCTGTTTCTAAAGCCTGTGTATTGTACACATGGCTTTAGTACTGTTTCTAAAGCCATAATACTGTTTCTAAAGTACTGTATTGTAATGCTGTTTCTAAAGCCTTGTGTATTGTTCATAATACTGTTTCTACAGTACTGTATTGTAATGCTGTTTCTAAAGCCTTGTGTATTGTTCATAATACTGTTTCTAAAGTACTGTATTGTAATGCTGTTTCTAAAGCCTTGTGTATTGTTCAAATGTTTATCATGTTGATTAGTTGCTGCTCTACAACATGTTTTTAATGTTTTAACAACAGTTTTGTTGAAGTGCTAATAAAATAAATATATGCTTAATATTGACTATTTACTTTTTATCCCTGTTAGTGGTTGTCATAGGGGCCCGAGCACACTGGTTTACCCAGGGGCACATAATGCTGTTAAGACGGCCGTAGTGGATCCACATCTGTTTACATATCCATTTCAAACAAATATTTTGATAATAAATTGAGTGATGAATGGGCTCTTGTTTTTAACCATGGTACAGTAATTTGAATTGGGAAAATATTGTAGATATATAAATGTCATATATTCTTCAATGCTTGATTAATAATACTTGCTAGATTTCTTCACAATACATAACTGTAATCATGAATTAATTTTGGTACGCAAAAACATATTTACCATAGTTTGAAATGTCATGTTAGTCCTAAATTGCCTGTATAGAGTCCTTGTGTCCAGGTTTTCATAATCATTTATGCTCTTCGACTACTGCCTCTCCTCAAGCAACCCCCCTTTTTCTAATTCCTGACTCCTGTTACCATTTCTGTGATTCCAATTGCAAATAACTACTCGTGCATCCAGGCTGGTTGATTATGGGCACATAGAACAGCTGGTTCGTGAGGTGACTGAAACCGTCACTCTGAGAAGACAAGCCTCTGTTGGCACCGTTCAGCATGCTCTACTTTCAAACAAACTGAGAACCAGCATACCTCAGGTGAGCATTGTGCTCTTCTAATATCATTAACTTAGCTTCTCTTGGAAAGTAAACAGTATAAAAGTAACTTGCAAAGATTCTAAATAAAGCCTCACATGCGTGGGTGTCCGCGGTTCAAGTCTCCTAGTGCCCAGGTGAATGAAATGTTTATTTCCACTGAAGTGTGGATGACAATTTATTCTAAATAAACATCTCAAATGTAGACTAAGAAGTGGTTATTGGGGATAGTGTTGACAAGCTGAAAGATGCATAAGGTAAGCAGGACACCATATAGTCTGGCAAAGTGCTGTACCTGAGTACAGACTGACACTAGAGGGGAGCTACAGCATCCGAGAAGTCCACAGGTTAGTCCTAAGTGAATGAAGCATGCTTATAGTAAATTGGTGCATGAGTAGTTGCTTATTGTAAATTATACAGCTTTGCTGATATATTCTAATTTCTGCTTATAGAGTAGTCAGACCCATAACACACAGAAAAGCAGCTCTAGCACATTAAGGAAATAGCAAACCACCACCAACATACAATCAGAACAGTCTCTCCCCATGAACAGGCCTCACAGAGGAGAACAGGTCACATGTCTCAAAGGTAAAATTGCCTATTTTACTGGGTTCATCATCTAGCACTGTTATGTCAGCATGTTTTTGTATTACACTAGATGCATGAACTTTGACCAATCATCACTGACTACCTTCCTGAGCTCATCTTCTTCAGCATCTTCCCAACCATGACATCCTGGATATTCTCGTTGCAAAATTATTGACAGCATCAATAGTAGTTACGCACATTTTATAATTGGATTTATATGATTTTTCTGGTAACTGCTATTCATGGTTATTTCTAAATTCATTCTTTTCAATGTCATCTTGTTTTCTAAACTGTCTCTTCAGGTTTCACATGCAATATATAGCTAGGACTGTAAGCTATAACTATTGTACTGTATATAATAATCCACTATCTTAGTGTACAGTACTAAGTCAGGAGTGGAACTGATCTGGTCGTATCCTCGGGAAAACTGTAAATTGTTATGGTGGACAGCTTATAACAGGTTGCCAACTAGTCGAGACATCTTTTGGCTACTTACTTTTACCCATACAGTAATGGAAATTTGTCTCCCGGACAGAATTATTCATCAGTTGGGAGACACGTCCCACCTGGACCAATGACACGGATACTTTTTAACATGTTGGGAGTTGAAAGGTACTGTGTTTAGTACCACTTACGGGCTATTCATGCCCGTGCCACCTCTTGGGTGGCTTAATCTTTATCAATCAATCAATCTACTGTGTTTAAATGAATGATCAGTATTACTTGGAACAAATACAGTATTTCTTAAATGCTGGGACTTAAATTGACTTATTTTAAAGTAAACTAAATTGCATGAAATTCTATTTTAAGCCTTTCTATTAAAGGATTTCATTGTCACATAAGTTGCTTGGTGCTTAATTACACTGATTATTTAATTCATATCACTTTAATGTTGCATTTTCATGAATTCAGAACCACATTTACAATGGAAAGGTTTCTCTGTTATTCTCATTTATAATAAGGACATGGAGTGAGGTGATTGTGGTGGGAAAGCAACCTGTCCTCCCAAAGAGAACGTCGCATTTTGCTCGTATGCATTATATAAGGCCAAAAATTGTACTAGAAAATGGAAGCGGCTCGTGAAAGTGACATACTGTCCCGTTTTCTGTTTTGGGTCCTCAGGTAGGTTCGGAGAGGACACTTTAAATTAACCATTTTCTTGACATTGGGAAACCTTAGGAGGACAGGCTGGGGAAGGAGTGAGGCAGTGTGTGTGGATTACCACACTGGGATAGGGATGATAAGGGAGGTTGAGTATTCTGACTGTTCTCACATTTTGACAGGCATCTAATTTAAAGTGGCTTTGTCTAACCATAAGCATATGAACCTAAACAAATGCACCTACCTATTAAGGCTGATGCTCAACACTTTGAGAATGCCTGCAAACTGTCACCTAAATTCCACTAAGGCACAATAATTTGAATGCTACTGTTGACATCTAAATTAAAGTGCATTAAGCATGAAAATGTGTTGGTGTATTAACTTTGATGTTAGTACAGTACAGTATTGGGGCTAGTTAAAGGTCCCATAGCTTAAGGCTGTTTATGTACTTATACATACAAAGTTGTGGACACTTACACATAAAATATATTCAGAACACAAGGCAAAAAAAAAGATGTCATCCCAAGATGAGACGGCATACATGCCCTATACTGAGTCTTCCCAAGATGAGACGGCATACATGCACCATCTGAGTCTTTCCAAGATGAGACGGCATACATGCCCTATACTGAGTCTTCCCAAGATGAGACGGCATACATGCACAATACCGTGTCTTCCCAAGATGAGACGGCATACATACATACCGTGTCTTCCCAAGATGAGACGGCATACATGCACAATACCGTGTCTTCACAAGATGAGACGGCATACATGCACAATACCGTGTCTTCACAAGATGAGACGGCATACATGCACAATACCGTGTCTTCACAAGATGAGACGGCATACATACATACCGTGTCTTCCCAAGATTCTTCACAAGATGAGACGGCATACATGCACAATACCGTGTCTTCCCAAGATGAGACGGCATACATGCACAATACCGTGTCTTCACAAGATGAGACGGCATACATACACAATACTGTGTCTTCCCACGATGAGAGGGCTATGAATTTTCCACATAAGGCGTCATAAACAATTACAGTATTTCATAATGTGAATAATGAGCTTCATCTTATGTAGAACATTTTAAATGCTCAGGCTATCTAGATTGGCTTTTATAATCTGTCGTAACTCTGTTAGCACTATTATGCACTATGTCGGGTTTAAGTATGAGCAGGAATGATTATTCATTGTGTTGGCAACAGGGTTTTATACTCCCAGGTCTCAAGACTAATGTACTACTGGTCAGAGGCAAATATCACGAGGAAAAGTTGAGCCCAATAACTATACAGTACAGCACTTAGAAGGGATATTTATTAACAAATACAGTATGTGGTTACTGAATTGGCTGCATTTCTCTTGTGTATTGGCAATGAGAGAATATAAATGTTATGATCAATTTTGTTCTTTCAAATTTTGGATTACAAAGGTTCTTAATTATGGGAGTAGTCAGTTGGGAATAAGTAAGAGAACAAAATAATATGTGGGGGGGAAAATAAGTTATATAAGTTCTGCTTTTTATGCAGCTTGAATCAGTTTAATGTGTTTATGTAGTACAGTATGTTGATTGTATTTGTGGGCCATTAGTCAGCATTGGTGTAAGTCAAATGTAACCCAGACAGCAAATTATATATTATTTGTAGTGCACGTTTGTAGGTTATTGACTGTGAGGGTTGGACATAGAGGTGAGAAAGTCTTGAGATGATTTAGAATACTGTGGTTATTCACCCCCCCCCCTCCATCCACACCCACATACACCCCCCAAAATATACCTGTACCTGTTAAATATGTATGTAAATATACCTGTTAAATATTAATATTTAACAGGTATATTAAATGAAGTTAGAAAGATGCCCAGAGATAAGAATATTTGTAGGAGAAGTTACATAAGATTTCTCCATGAAACAAAATATTTGAAATTGTTTTAGTAACATTGTTATGTTGGAAATCAAAGATATAATATTGGAGAATCTGTAATCCTAGAACTAGATAATTATGGTTAATAGTGACATTTAATGTAGAAGTAATGATAGTTATATAACGTGTTTAATTGTTAGATGAGCAAGTCAACTAAGATAAAGTGACATACCTTGTGTGTGTAAGTGCAAAGTGCACTTACACACACAAAGTGCAATGAGAGAATATACACACTTGTACACAAAGTGTGTGTGTGTGTAAGTGCACGAACAAAGTGCAAACATGGTTGACTGTGACCTTTTTTTACGATATGTGAGTTAGTGTTTGAACGCATTCTAGTGTGGTATCTTTTTTTATATTTTTTTATATTTTATATTTTTTTTTTTATCACAGACAGTGAAGCAAGTAGAGGACCTGATAGCAAGATTAGACGACTGGGAGTTACGGGACTTGACTCCGGCAGAACGTGAGAGACGAACACGTCTTTGTGAAAGGTTTCAAAGTGCTCTAAAAAAAGCAGATATGGATTTTAATGAGTAAGTTCTAAAATTTAGAAATCACTGTATTATAAGTAATAGTGTGAGAGATAACTCTGGCTTATAATGTTTAAATGGGCAGCTATTCTGAGCAGTCATTTTGCAATTCTCATAAGTTACATATCCAGCACACCTTGAAGGCTTATGACTTAACCTTGTGAGCTATACAGTATATGACATTAGCAACACAAGAGACTGAAGCACCCATTAAGATTTGTATATGGTGGTTGGAAATGACTGGAGACTATGTCATCCAACTTCAAGAAAATGATGCTGACAATGTTGGTTTAAGAGTACATGCCTGTCTATGATTCCCAGTGTTGTCATGCTTGTGACCATCAAATGGAACTCTGAATTAATTTAGTCATCAATTACAGACAGGCTTGTACCACCTCACAGCCACCAAGCAGTATCACCTCTCCACCTTATCTCAAGGTTATCTTGAGATGGTTTCAGGGCTTAGTGTCCCCGTGGCCCGGTCCTCGACCAGGCCTCCTTTTTGTTACACCCCCAGGAAGCAGCCCGTAGCAGCTGTCTAACTCCCAGGAACCTATTTACTGCTAGGTAACAGGGGCATCAGGGTGAAAGAAACTTTTTGCCCATTTGTCTCTGCCTCCATCGGGAATCAAACCCGGAACTTCAGGATCCGAAGCGCTGTCCACTCAGCTGTCAAGTGCCCACCTTGAGGTCTTATGTTTCATACTCTTCTTGCATGTGAAAAAGAGGCTGCAAAACTCTGAGGTCTGTGAGAGTTAGGTAGGAAGGGAAGAAGAGAGAACAGGAATGGCAAAATGATGTGACCTGCTCAGAAAGATGGTTTCCTGAATTCAGATTATTTTCCGAGCTTTTATTTTACCACTCGTATAAGTTAGCATTTAATAAATATAACTAATTAAATATACACATTAATAAAAAATTATGGAAACCAGTGCTGCCTGAGAAGAGAAATGTCTGCACAGTGATACAGCAAGTCTTTTTTTTTTTAATACACTGCTCTATGATATTCTTTGAGATGTTACTGATTACCTCCATGTAGAATGCATCACAGCCAGATGAGGTAATTTTGTGGAAAGACTAGTGCAACAAGATGGTGTCAAGGACACTGCAGCTTAGGTATAACCCTGGCCTTTATGATGTATCAAATCTGCATTTCAGAGTTTTACCACTATTAATCCCAACTTAAACAAGTTCCTGCTATTCCCATTAACAACACTATACAGCCAGGACGGGTTGACATTCAGCACTGATGCAACACCAGCTTTTTCGAATGTCTCTCTTATCAGGTCTTATTGGTGCAAGATACTGGAAAATACTCAGTCCAGTCTGAAGTCACAAATAGATGGTACTGTACTTTGTATTCACTCAAAAGTCCTCCTAGTGCTATTTGTCATCTCGGGGAATGTAAAACTGGTGTGGTCTTGCTATGTCTGAGGATCTGGGTGTCTAGATGTTTGGGCTAACTTGGATTGGGTCACTTTTCTTAGTCTTAAGTTCCATCTGGTTTCATTCTGCAGCACAGACAAGTCAAGCCCTGCTCTGTATGTTTTGTAGACATGGTGCTCTAGTTCATTCTTGCCAGAGAGAACAACCAAGTGCCTTGCAAAGACACCAAATTTTCATCTACATTCAAAGCTTGTTCTTTTTAATAAGCCGCTCCTACATTGATATGCTAATATTATTTGATTAAATCTGGATTTAAATAATAATGGCTACTGGACATTTGCGCGGTTAAAAGTACATACTGTACAGTCTCTGCTAAAGAGCTGTTTCAGTCAAGACTAAAATAAGTTTGGTTATTTAATTTGTGCGTCCATCTCTCTGTGTGTTTGCATGTCACTAGTTACATTATGTTTGCGTTGGTAGGTAATAAAATACACTAAATTTTCTATTCCGTAGGAGAAAATACCAATCAATTGGGCCAGCTGAGAGCGCTGCCTCAGGTTGGCATGTAGAGGACGACTCAGTGGACACCAGCAGCCTGACTGTTGATCAGCTACGTCGGCAGCAAGGACGTATTCTTGAAGGTGTGATCTTGATACAAGTGATTTTGTAAACATTCTCAGGTTTTTGTCAATCTTCAACTGCAAGTCTGACTGTTTCTAACTTATTTTATTTAACGTTGAAACTAAGAGTGTAAAAAGAAATTTCACATTTGTATTAATTACAATTATAAGGCTTCATGAATTTCACGTAAATTAGAAATTTGTCCAAAAGACACAAGTTTAATATTATTTGCATGCAGATATATATTTTAATTTTAATTAGCGAGTTTTAAATGAGCTTAGCAATAAAAGCATAGAGGCAATGGCTGTAAAATTTTAATACAGCTTAGAGCAGTGTAGGTAGTAGATAGTTTTGCATCAATTATCCAAGGAAACATGCATACAGTATTACTAGCAGTGAAAATAAGGAAATATTAATTTTTAACGGATCAGAAGTGAAAATAGTACGTGAATGTATGAAAAATAATAACAAAATATATTAGATAACTTAAGGTTCATGAAATATGTGAGAGAGAGTTGCAGTGTTTGTGCAACAAAGTTGAGAGCTCTGATACACAACTGGGAAGACTTCAGAAAGAAGGTGGCATAAAGCGACATATTTGTATATGTAACAGTATTAATAAAATAAAATAAAGTATTTGTGTACATGGAAAAACATTTTCACCCCAAGATATTTCAACTGAGATTTGCTACTTAATACAAAATGCAGTGTAGAAAATGTCACTTCCAGAAAAGCCTATGGATGGGTCTTCTCTACCTCTGTAAACACAATACCTGATAGGGGGGGGGAAGAATTGGCATGAAAAAGTGTCATCTCATATGGAATACGTATCAATCATTTAACATAGTTTACTATTTATTGATACTCCATGTGACCTAGAGCATGCTGGTTGGTGCAGTCTGTGTACAACTATCTGAACCTCGGTTCGATTCTCAGGCAAGGAGAGCGAGATATTTGGGTACATTTCCTTTCATCTGATACTTTTGTTCACCTGGCAATAAAAAGGAAGCTGAGAGATAGGCAACTGTTGTGGGTTGCATCCTAGCTGAGGTCACTTGTTGACCAGGGAGGAGCTTATTAAACCTAACAGGATTCCTGTTCCCAACACTGGGACACTTGTGTATTCAGTTCATCAGTAAATATTATCATTTTTCAGAGCAAGAGTCTGGGCTTGATGCATTGTCTAAAGTTGTAAGTCAACAGAAGGAAATTGCCAAAGCTCTTGGTAACGAGGTCGTGGAACAGAATGGTAAGTCAGACGACTTTTGCCTTTAGTGCATGTGTGATGTGGGTATATAAGCCATTAATGCATACTTAGGGTAGTGTGATGTGGGTATATAAGCCATTAACTCATACTTATTGTAGTGTGATATGGGTATATATAAGCCATTAACTCATACATGTTGCAGTATGGGGAAGGAGGCACATAAGCTGTTATTTTAGGATTATGACTTGATAAAGCTCATCCTAAGCCAAACTTTGTCTTGTTATCCTGTGATGTTTTGCTTCAGTTTTGTCCACAACCTCCTCCCCAACACCCAGGAATGTCAGTGTCACACTTTGTAACAAATATTTTGTTCATCATCCTAACCATGTTAGCTCTTCATTGTTGCTCATACTGGATCAGATATCAAACTCAGGTCATCGTGCGAGGATTCGGTGAATAAAGATTAATGTCTCTTGTTTTCAACAGACTTACTCGATGACATTGCTGACCGCACAGATAACGCACAGAACAATGTTGTTAATGAAACCGACCAAATCTCCATGGTGACAAAAAAGTCAAGGACATGGCGTAAGTATTGAGATTGATATGAATCTAAAGCAATTTTTATACATCCAAAAAAGTTGTCAAATGGTAGTGTTACTACCATTTTTGTAAATCTTGATATTTTGCAGCAAGAATGTCACATTTGACCTTGCCAGACTTTGAACACTGAGGGGCGTTTGGAATAAGGATACCTGATTGATGGGTGAATGTGAATAAGTAAAGCTCATATAATGCCAGCAGTATATTCTTAAGAAATCAAATGTGCCTCATATTTGGTTGTAAGATTATTATTTGGTGGCATTATTTGAGGGTCCCCGGGTATGTTATATGAGAAATGGGGCTAAGAGTTGAACTGAAAGAGTTTTCTTTGGGGGGGGATTTTTCTTTTTTTTAGGTTCTCTGGTCTTGAATAGGTAACGTCTCTAGTCTCTACTAGACACTTGTGCAAGCTTTTGATGGACTAAAATATAGTTATACAGTACAGTACTGTATTATATTTTTTGCAAAAGTTAGGTTATGAATCATAAGAGACACTGTTCTATAAAATGACACTGAAATGGATCCTGTACATACAATACCTATGGATATATTAATGAAAAATTAGCAGGGTGTGAACACCCTGATTGCTGATCTCCAGACAAAGGGGTATTTTACTCATTCCCCACGTAATTACAGTGATATTAGAAATGTTAACACATTTTTATCCTGTAACCCATATTAAAATTCAAGTCTATCAAATGTGGTGGGGGTTATATCACACAAGTGCAGAGAATATCACAATGTGTCTGTAACAAGTTATACAAACCCACCCACCCACCACACACACACACACACACACACACACACACACACACCCACACACACACACACACACACACACACACATGAAAGGAAAGTGACAATATTTTGTGCCATCCTGGACACTCGTCAAGTCGTGATGATTTGATGAGTGTCCAGGAAATGCACCAAAAAGTAATTGATGTCTAGAAGCCATCACTCTTACTCTATACATTTTATTTTTGCAGCTTACTGGGTGGTGATTGCTGTCCTCTTCATGGCTATCGTCATTGTTGCTATTTGGTAACTACGGTAAAACCAAGATGTGATGAATTATTAATTGCATACAGTGATTGGTGCCATGGCCTAGGAAAACCTCAGTGTAGAAATGAATTTCAGTGCCTATAACATATTTGACTCGGAACTTGAATACTGTATTGTATAAAATGTATAAAAATGGCACGAGGAATCTCTGGCCAACACAGTAGCTGCAATAAATAGTGAACAAAACTTATGATGTATGGTGCATGATCTGGATGACAGGCTGGAGGTTCCTCGTGTCTAGTATTCAGTGTTTTGTAAACTTCAAGTTAGAATTTTGCAGTATGGTGATAATGTGTGCATGCATGTGTGTGTGTGTGTGCATACAATGACATGTATGTACATACAATGATGTGTGCACATATACTGATATGTGTGTATACATACACCGATGTGTACGCGTGTGTGTACATTGACGTGTGTGTGTGTGCATTGACGTGTGAGTGTGCATGCACTGACACGTGTACATACATGCTTTAATGTGTGTGTGTATATGCAATGACACATGTGAGCATACATGCACCGAGATACATAGTTAAATTCATTTTACTTGCTGCATTATTTGACACAATACCTACATATGAGTGACATTACTGCAGTAAGTGATACTTTGCCCTGCCTAATAATTGTAAGTGAATATCCAATATGACATTCCTTTAGCAGAAAACGGATGTGGTGGAACATTTTCCAAAAAGTGTCATTAAGTTTCCAAGTTACTGAATAGAATGATGTACAGTATATGATTTTAGAATTCTATTGAGCATTAGTATACATAATCTGCACAGCTTGATGTCTGTCTTGCATACTGTTAGATTTGTGAAAAAAACTTTGTTTTATTGTTCAAACTTGTTTATCATTGCTGTTTGCATTTTCTTGAAGGACATTAATGTTTTCCAAGTGTTCCTGAAGGATTGTATTATGTTTACTGAGAAAATGATATCTGATGTATTTCTTTTGATGTACAACAAGAAGGTCTAACTCTGCAAGGTATAAAATTTTGAGGCATTCTTCTAAATTTTGTCCTTAAATGCACTGTGACCTCTTCAAGGTTCAGTTTTCTTTGGGGCTGTCTGTGAAGGATGATAATTTGTTATATGGTAATTAGAACTGTATGTTTTGGAAATGAAATATTTCACCGCTAATCATTTTCCAAGGAACATATCTAGTCAAGTGACTGCTTTAACCCCTTTCCCTCTCCATCACAAAAACATTCAGTTGCTTATCATTTGTTGAGGCAGTTACAGTACTTCAAATGATTCATATTATTAGATCAATTCAAATTTAAAAGTAGTCAGAATTACGTTATGATTTCTGAATTTGAGCGACTCTAGAGCACTGTCCATGGTACAGTGACCTGTGTCCTCGACTCACAAACAAGGATCTTTGGTTCAATCCCCAGGTTGGTAAAAAATGGCTTGGAACATTTAATTTCACCTGATGCCTCTGTTCACTTAGCACTAAATAGGTACCCAGGAATTAGGAAAATGTAGTGGGTTGCATTCCAGGGAAGGTCAGTTGTTGACTTTAGGGGAGAGGGACATCAATAAGCCTAAGTACAGGCTCCCTGTCCCTGACAATGGGAATTATTTAAAGCATTCCATTGTGTATCGCTGGTAGCAGGTGGTACTGGTACTCGAGTCACTGTCCACAGTAGGACGATCAATAGCTCGAGATTATCTAGTGAATATACAAGTCAAAATATGTGAAATACACAAAGAAGACAAGAACCACCAGGGTGACAAGAATGGGTATCGTGATTCATCAAACATACATAAGTTTATTAATGTAACTACAGTGTATTATAACTTATCATTATTATGTTCGGCACTTTCATGGGGCGGGGAAATATTTATACTTATCGTGATATATATTAATAGATCTGAATAAATGAATTTGTACATTACTGTAGTTTTTCTTACTTAAAACTATCTAATTGGCTCCCTTCGTATTTATGAAGTGATGTTGACATGGCTGGTGGTGGTGGTGACATGGCTGTGGTGGTGACATGGCTGGTGGTGGTGACATGGCTGTGGTGGTGGTGGTGACATGGCTGGTGGTGGTGGTGGTGACATGGCTGGTGGTGGTGGTGACATGGCTGTGGTGGTGGTGGTGACATGGCTGTGGTGGTGACATGGCTGGTGGTGGTGACATGGCTGTGGTGGTGGTGGTGACATGGCTGGTGGTGGTGACATGGCTGTGGTGGTGGTGGTGACATGGCTGGTGGTGGTGGTGACATGGCTGTGGTGGTGGTGGTGACATGGCTGGTGGTGGTGACATGGCTGGTGGTGGTGGTGGTGACATGGCTGGTGGTGGTGGTGACATGGCTGTGGTGGTGGTGGTGACATGGCTGTGGTGGTGACATGGCTGGTGGTGGTGACATGGCTGTAGTGGTGGTGGTGACATGGCTGGTGGTGGTGACATGGCTGTGGTGGTGGTGGTGACATGGCTGTGGTGGTGGTGGTGACATGGCTGGTGGTGGTGGTGACATGGCTGTGGTGGTGGTGGTGACATGGCTGGTGGTGGTGTTGACATGGCTGTGGTGGTGGTGGTGACATGGCTGGTGGGGGTGACATGGCTGTGGTGGTGACATGGCTGGTGGTGGTGACCTGGCTGGTGGTGGTGGTGTTGACATGGTTGTGGTGGTGGTGGTGACATGGCTGGTGGTGGTGACATGGCTGTGGTGGTGGTGGTGACATGGCTGGTGGTGGTGACATGGCTGTGGTGGTGACATGGCTGTGGTGGTGGTGACATGGCTGGTGGTGGTGACATGGCTGTGGTGGTGGTGGTGACATGGCTGGTGGTGGTGACATGGCTGTGGTGGTGGTGGTGACATGGCTGGTGGTGGTGACATGGCTGTGGTGGTGGTGGTGGTGACATGGCTGTGGTGGTGGTGGTGGTGACATGGCTGGTGGTGGTGACATGGCTGGTGGTGGTGACATGGCTGGTGGTGGTGACATGGCTGGTGGTGGTGACCTGGCTGGTGGTAGTGGTGGTGACATGGCTGTGGTGGTGGTGGTGACATGGCTGGTGGTGGTGACCTGGCTGGTGGTGGTGGTGACATGGCTGTGGTGGTGGTGGTGACATGGCAGGTGGTGGTGACCTGGCTGGTGGTGGTGACATGGCTGGTGGTGGTGACATGGCTGGTGGTGGTGGTGGTGACATGGCTGTGGTGGTGGTGGTGACCTGGCTGGTGGTGGTGACATGGCTGTGGTGGTGGTGGTGACATGGCTGGTGGTGGTGACCTGGCTGGTGGTGGTGGTGACATGGCTGGTGGTGGTGGTGGTGACATGGCAGGTGGTGGTGGTGGTGACATGGCTGTGGTGGTGGTGGTGACATGGGTGGTGGTGGTGACCTGGCTGGTTGTGGTGGTGTTGACATGGCTGTGGTGGTGGTGGTGACATGGGTGGTGGTGACATGGCTGGTGGTGGTGACCTGGCTGGTGGTGGTGGTGACATGGCTGTGGTGGTGGTGGTGACATGGGTGGTGGTGGTGGTGACATGGTTGGTGGTGGTGACCTGGCTGGTGGTGGTGATGTTGACATGGCTGGTGGTGGTGGTGCTGGCAGCTGTAGTGGCAGCCTCGTGTAATACAGACACAACATTCTGAAAATCCTTGCTGTAACCTCTTACAAAAATATAATTTGCGAGCCTCAGAGAGAACTAATTACTTTACACCATAAACCAACATAACAGGATTGTTGATGCATTTACAAATAATATAATTACTGATTAGACAGTCATGCTCAAGGCAAAAATTTTTATTAAATCAAAACATACTTTGAAATTATTGAACTAATCACTTCATTCCACTCTAGTTTATTATTTTTTTATAAATAATAATATTTTATTGTAGTGTTCATACATAGGATACAAGAGCAGGATGATACATAGGTAAGTACAATGTATAAAGCCACTGATACGATGGCATTAAAAGCATCTTTATGAAGTTATTTTCCTAAAATGTGGTAATGATAGTATATTACTGGATGGCGTGCTTAATGTAATTATACACCATAGACAGACCAATTAGCTGGTGGCAGTTCCAGGTGGCGGCGGAGCCTACTACGCCAACATACTCGCTTCATCATAGCCTACCAACAATGGTTGTGTGTATGTGCTTGTATGTGCCAGGTTGTGTTTACCACACACACACACACACACACACACACACACACACACACACTCACACAAAGAAAGATGAGTTAGGAGAGACATGATCACCACATACAAGATTTCCAGAGAGATTAACAGGATAGATAAAAATAATTTATTTAACATAAGGGAGGGGAGTACATGCACAAGGGAACACGGGTGGAAACTGAGTACCAAAATGAGACGTTGAGATATTAGAAGGAAATTTGTTTAGTGTCAAAGTAGTTAGTAAATGGAATGCACTAGGCAGTGATGTGGTGGAGGCTGACTCCATACACAGTTTCAAGTGTAGATATGATAGAGCCCAATAGGCTCAGGAACTTGTACACCAGTTGATTGACAGTTGAGAGGCGGGACCAAAGAGCCAGAGCTCAACCCCCGCAAACACAATTAGGTGAGTACACACACACAGCTCCGAGAGGCCTTGCGGCTGAGTGGACAGGGCTTAGGGGGAGGGGGAGTCGTAGTCCTATGGGCCCGGGTTTGATTCCTGGCCAAGAATTGAACGGTGATTCCCAAAGCGGAAATAAATGGGCAGAGTTTCTTTCACCCTAATGCACCTATTCACCTAGCAGTAAATAGGGACACGCTAACCTATCAACCTTAACTCAGTAATTCACGTTCCTAATATTATATACTAAAATTAGGAAAAAACCAAATTGAAAACAAATCAATGAAAAAATAGGGAAAATTGTTCTAACTGTTAGGCAAATTGTGGCTTGCTTACTAGGACAAGTAGTGGGGTTCGGGTTGTTTTCTCCCCCCCTCCCTCCCTCCCTCTCTCTCTCTTTCTCTCTCTCTCTCTCTCCTCTCTCTCTCTCTCTCTCTCTCTCTCTCTCTCTCTCTCTCTCTCTCTCTCTCTCTCTCTCTCTCTCTCTCTCTCTCTTTAATCAACGGGGCCGTTTGACCCAACGGTCTGTCTAAACAACAGGGCAGTTTGACCCAACGGTCTGTCTAAACAACAGGGCAGTTTGACCCAACGGTCTGTCTAAACAACGGAGCAGTTTGACCCAACGGTCTGTCTAAACAACGGAGCAGTTTGACCCAACGGTCTGTCTAAACAACAGGGCAGTTTGACCCAACGGTCTGTCTAAACAACGGAGCAGTTTGACCCAACGGTCTGTCTGAACAACGAGACAATTTGACCCAACGGTCTGTCTAAACAACAGGGCAGTTTGACCCAACGGTCTGTCTAAACAACAGGGCAGTTTGACCCAACGGTCTGTCTAAACAACAGGGCAGATTGACCCAACGGTCTGTCTAAACAACAGGGCAGTTTGACCCAACGGTCTGTCTAAACAACAGGGCAGTTTGACCCAACGGTCTGTATAAACAACAGGGCAGTTTGACCCAACGGTCTGTCTAAACAACAGGGCAGTTTGACCCAACGGTCTGTCTAAACAACAGGGCAGTTTGACCCAACGGTCTGTCTAAACAACAGGGCAGTTTGACCCAACGGTCTGTCTAAACAACAGGGCAGTTTGACCCAACGGTCTGTCTAAACAACAGGGCAGTTTGACCCAACGGTCTGTCTAAACAACAGGGCAGTTTGATCCAACGGTCTGTCTAAACAACGGGGCAGTTTGACCCAACGGTCTGTCTAAACAACGGGGCAGTTTGACCCAACGGTCTGTCTAAACAACGGGGCAATTTGACCCAACGGTCTGTCTAAACAACGGGGCAGTTTGACCCAACGGTCTGTCTAAACAACGGGGCAGTTTGACCCAACGGTCTGTCTAAACAACGGGGCAGTTTGACCCAACGGTCTGTCTAAACAACGGGGCAGTTTGACCCAACGGTCTGTCTAAACAACGGGGCAGTTTGACCCAACGGTCTGTCTAAACAACGGGGCAGTTTGACCCAACGGTCTGTCTAAACAACAGGCAGTTTGACCCAACGGTCTGTCTAAACAACGGGGCAGTTTGACCCAACGGTCTGTCTAAACAACGGGGCAGTTTGACCCAACGGTCTGTCTAAACAACGGGGCAGTTTGACCCAACGGTCTGTCTAAACAACGGGGCAGTTTGACCCAACGGTCTGTCTAAACAACAGGGCAGTTTGACCCAACGGTCTGTCTAAACAACAGGGCAGTTTGACCCAACGGTCTGTCTAAACAACAGGGCAGTTTGACCCAACGGTCTGTCTAAACAACAGGGCAGTTTGACCCAACGGTCTGTCTAAACAACAGGGCAGTTTGACCCAACGGTCTGCCTAAACAACAGGGCAGTTTGACCCAACGGTCTGTCTAAACAACAGGGCAGTTTGACCCAACGGTCTGTCTAAACAACAGGGCAGTTTGACCCAACGGTCTGTCTAAACAACAGGGCAGTTTGACCCAACGGTCTGTCTAAACAACAGGGCAGTTTGACCCAACGGTCTGTATAAACAACAGGGCAGTTTGACCCAACGGTCTGTATAAACAACAGGGCAGTTTGACCCAACGGTCTGTCTAAACAACAGGGCAGTTTGACCCAACGGTCTGTCTAAACAACGGGGCAGTTTGACCCAACGGTCTGTATAAACAACAGGGCAGTTTGACCCAACGGTCTGTCTAAACAACAGGGCAGTTTGACCCAACGGTCTGTCTAAACAACAGGGCAGTTTGACCCAACGGTCTGTCTAAACAACAGGGCAGTTTGACCCAGCAGCTCCAGAACGAGGCGATTCTTCCTGTTTTTTTGACTTGGAGGAGAAATAAAATAAAAAAAAAATCGTAGCCTTTTTATATTTTAAATTTTCTCTTTTCCGTTCT